TTGAGGAATCTCCATACTGTTTCTGTAGTGGTTGTACCAATTTATATTCCCACCAACAGGGCAGATGGGTTCCCTTTTCTCCATATCCTCACCAACACTTGTCATTTCTTGTTTTTTTTGATGGTAGCCATTTTAACAGATATAAGGTGATATCTCAGTGTGGTCTTGATTTGCCTTTCCCTGATGATTAGTAATGTTGAGCATCTTTTTATATAACTGTTGGCCATCTGTGTTCTTTGGGAAAATGTCTATTCAGATCCTCTGCTCATTTTTTAATCAGATTTTTTTTTTTTATTTTTTTTTGGCTATTGAGTTGTGAAATCTGGAGTTGGGGTCTGGGTTTAAGTCCCAGCGTTGGCTCTGGTTCTGAGATTATGGGATCTGTGATTTAATCTTCCTGATTCATACTTGCTTTATTAGCAACCAGCACCGGAGAGGATTAGCTTTGTGATTTATGAATGATCCATTCAGTTCATCTGTGAATAACTCATTTATTCCATCAAACTCCCCAGGGCAAGGCTGGACAAGACAGAGCCAGCCCCCTCTTCAGCTTTTTAATCTACAGCCTATTTTTGTTGTGAACATCTGAACACCAGGGGCTTGTGGGAAAGAGGGCTTTCTCTGGGTCTCTGCCTCCTGCAGCAACCTAAAACTACACCCCATCATTGGCTGACTGTCCTAGAGAAACATGCCCTGGGCCTAGGAATGGCTCAGGGACAGATATGTCACCCTGTCTTCCCAGTCACCCCCAAGAACCCAGGTCATTCTGGAATCTAGTCCTGGGTCAGTGAACTATCCACACACCCCCTGCCCCATTCCCAAGGAAGGACGGGGTCATGAGAACCTTCAATTTGAAGCCAGTCAGAAGCACAGGTAACAACCTGGATGTCTTATAGGATTGAACTCTTAACCTGTGTAATCTGATGCTGTCTTCAGGTAGATAGTGTCAGAATTGAGTTGCATTGCAGGACACCAGTAAAATAAATACAATTAGTATTATGGTACAATAAAATTTTTAAAAGTACAACTACTTATTTCAGTCATTTTCACATCTACTTGCTGGTATCTGAGAATTGCTTGTTGGTATGGGGAAGCCTCCCCTACACACGATTTGGAGTTGGGTCCAGGAACATAAGAG